ACTGGCTGGGGAATTCTGGGAGTTGAAGTCCACACATCTGGGTTTCCCACTTGTTCTAGGACAGTGTTTCTCAACCTTGGCAACTTGAAGTTGCCCGGACTTCACCTCCCAGAATCCCCCAGCCAGCATTCACTGGCTGGGGAATTCTGGGAGTTGAAGTCCGGACATCTTCAAGTTGCCAAGGTTGAGAAACACTGTCCTAGAACAAGTGGGAAACCCAGATGTGTGGACTTCAACTCCCAGCATTCCCCGGTTAGCCATCTTGGCTGGGGTATTCTGGGAGTTGAAGTCCGGACATCTTCAAGTTGCCAAGGTTGAGAAACACTGTCCTAGAACAAGTGGGAAACCCAGATGTGTGGACTTCAACTCCCAGCATTCCCCGGTTAGCCATCTTGGCTGGGGTATTCTGGGAGTTGAAGTCCACAGGTCTTAAAAGTTGCCAGAATTGGACCCCCCCTGAAACTAGGACAACATCTATCCTAAATCCCTGCAAAAGGATAGGAAGAACATATCTGGAACTTAATAATCGGGGGGGGGGGGGAAGCTGTTAAAGAGTCAAATCATGCAAAGATTGTGATGTCCTCTGGATATATTAATATCCATATTTCTCTCTCTCTTCTGCTCAGCTGGGAGAACGAGCCCAATTTTCTCTCTGCCCACAATTGAGCACCAAATACGAATCCAATTTCTCCTTGTGGAACTGTGCCCTCGGCTATTTTCCTAAAATTCCGTGAGATTTTCCCCATTATACTTAAATACGCCTTGGCATCCTCTAGACCAGTGTTTCTCAACCTTGGCAACTTGAAGATGTCTGGACTTCAACTCCCAGAATTCCCCATTTGCTGGCTGGGGAATTCTGGGAGTTGAAGTCCAGACATCTTCAAGTTGCCAAGGTTGAGAAACACTGCTCTAGACATTGAAACATTCTTCTCCTAAAATAAACCACGTTTTGTTCAACTGGGGCTTGTGGAATAAACCACAGATGAATAGGATCATATAACATACCGCGCTGTAAATCGTGGGTTACAGACTCCAGTTAAAATAACATTTTCAGCCACAAAAAAAGGTGTTTTGGTACCTGGGATGAATCCAGTCGCTGGTATTGGCTATTTTGAAAGCACAATGTTTGACTCTGTGGCTTTGTCACAACTTACAGTAGTGGTGCTAGAAGCTGAAATGCTTGCCAAGTTGAGCCAGAGAAAAATTCACCAACTTGCATGCAAGTTGGAGAGCCTTGTATTCTAACAGTGTCTAAAAACAAACGTCTTTGAACAGGGAACCCCAACATCAATGCTAGTGATACTATGGAGTGGCTTGGTGCTCTCTGAGTTTATTTTGTTTTTTGCAGACGTTTCATTACCCAACTTAATAACATCCTCAGTGCTGCAAGGGAGTGGGGCTTGTCCCCCTGTTTATACCCAAGTGGCTTGCTCTGTCAGTATTCATGGGAATGTGGCTTTTTTTTCTTGGTGGTTTCTTGATTAGGGCATTGCTTTCTGTTTAATTGTTTGTCTGGTGTTCATCCACGCTTATCTGGGTTTCTCTTTCCCGGAAGTCCTTAGTGCTAGCCAGGGAGTGGATTGCTGCCAGTTTTCTTTGCATGCGCAGAACATGAAAATATTAGTATAAAAAACAAGCCAGCAACGGCAACGATGACCAGTGAACTGGTTCAGGGGTGGGGTCAGCCTGCTGTCCCCTACCAGTTCGGTGACCCAGTCCCGATTTCCACTACCTGTTGTCTTGAACCAGGGCGAACCAGTAGCAATCCACCTCTGGTGCTAGCTAGATGTTCACTGGTTGGGTTATGAAAAATCTGCAAGAAAACTGCCAAGCTCAGAGAGCACCAAGGACCCCACAGTCTTCTTCCTCCTCCTCCTCCTCCTCCTCNATTCCCCCACCCACCCACCTAATTCGCCCCAGCTCCCCCCAGCTGCAGCCCCAAACCAGAAGCCAGATGCCACAGCAGCAGCAGCAGAGCGCCCGACCCTCCCACGGCTCTCCTGCGGCCACGAGAGGGGGGGGGAGGGTTGGGTGGGAACTGGGCACGCCTGTCCACGGAGATGGCCCACCCCCTCCCCCTCCCCCCTCGATCGCGCGTATGCAAATAGCCCTGGCCCTGCCTCCCGGGCTACTGCTGCGCTGGGCGAGCGGAGATGCCAGCGGCTGGAGTTCGCGCGAGCGGGTGAGTGGATCGCCTCTGTCCGGCCCGGGCTTACCTTACGGGGGGGGCAGAGGAAGGGGTCGCCGGGGCTCCCTTCGCCTGCGCTGCACCGGGCCGGAGGGGAAGGGGGGGGGCGTGGTGCATGCTGCAGGCTCCGAGCTGCATGCTGCATGCTGCATGCACCGTCCCCTTCTGCACTTCTCTCCCTGCCCCGCGCGCGCCTCTTCGCCTTCCCCGGCTGGCTGAGCTGCTCCCCGGCCCAGCTGCCGCCTGGGAATTGCGGGGATCGGGATGGGTGGGCTGGTGGGTGGGCTGGGGGTGGTGGTGTCCCCGAGTGGGAGGGAGGGGAACGGGCTGGACCAAACCGGGGGAGCCCCTAAACAGGGCTGGCTCAAAGTGGGGGCAGGAGGCTTATACAGCGTCGTGCGGGGCTCACCCGCGCCCTGCCAAATCCTTGGAGGCTGCAAGCCCCCCCCCCCCCCAAGCCTGGACCACCACCGCCCCGACATCCGAGCGGAGGGCCCGAACATCTGGGCGAGGCACAAAAGTTGGCACCGGTTTAGGCGCTTCCTTTCCGGCACTCTCCAGCTGTTGCGCCGCCTTCAGCTGAATCGCAGGGGGAACGTTTCCCCGCGAAGTGGGCGTGTGGGGGGGGGGCGTTCAGGCAGCCGCACCTCCCTAACTTTTCAGAAGTTTCCCCCTGGTTCGGCAAGAGAAGGACCCGCGGCAGGGGGAAGTGGGGGGGGGTTTGCTTCCTTCCTCTGCCTCTTTCCAAGGGGGTTGGACCCGGGGGGGGGGGCTCGCCTTTGTGAGCCGGGCTCCGTGGGGCTGGGGATGCTGGGGATTGTAGTAGTTCAGCAGTCTCCGGAGGGCTGCGGGCCAAGNGAGATTAACAAGGCGGTTTTGCATCTCTGCTAAGAAGATTCCCACCGACTTGATCCACTGGGATTTTCCCTGTGCCGAAGAAAGCGGGGGGGAAAAAAAGAGCATTAATTTTCAGATGTAAATAGAGAGAGGTGAGATGGTTCCTTCAGGTGAGTGAGGCCCATCATCCCTTAGAAAAGGATGTGTTGCCATGCAGTCAAGGCTTTTTAATGAGAATCTTTGGGACATCCACCATATCTTGTGCCCTGCTGCTGATGCATTCCTGTCACTCTCCAAATAGAGTCCATTTGTTCCAAATCGTTCGTATTAAAAAGTTTTGACTTAACTTTTCATATCCTTTAGAGAGAAATTTTCTAAAATAATAATAATAAAAAAAGATTTATGAAATATCTCAGAGAGCTAACAGATAGTTTTATTTTTTAAAGAAGCTGCATCTAAATAAACAATTGAACTTTACATGGTCAGGTCAGTGTGTTGGAAGCTCTTATTCCAAGGGCTGATTTCTGGACATTATGGTTGCAATTGACGGATATATTATGCAGGGAGAAAACAACTTGAGATAAATCTCCAAAGGCTTTTCAAGTTTTCTTCACTTATTCTGGGAATGCTGCAATTTTTTTTTCTGACTCTCCAGTTTGAATGTTAGGAGTCTTTTTGGGTTCCCCTTGAAAAGATCAGAATTCCCCTTCCGTGAATTCAGTTTGAATGGAATAATAGGCCAAACAGCCAAGAGAATTATAAATAACATGTTTTCGTTTGCAAAAGGCAAACTCGTTCTCTTTATTCTTGCATCTGGGGGGGAATGTAATTTCTTCGATGCTTAATTGCACAAACAGAGTAAGAGAAGTTACAGCCATGGATTTCAATTCCTGAACCAATTTTGATGGAGGTAACCTCTAAACCAGCACTCCCCTTTTGAGTTGCCCCTTGAGGGCAGCTGTGAGTTGTGCTTTTGAAACACACTCCTCTGGTTTGCCAATTCTGTTCCAGGCCTCCCAAGTTCTGATTATAGTTATTCAGGTTTTCATAGACTTGAGTTTCCCAAGTCCGGAAAAAAAACTCACCTGCTGTGATTCAGTGCAAACTTTTAATCTTTGTATACAAAGGGGGGAGAAGAATGTGCAACCCCCCCCCTTTAAACTCAGTGCACTCCAAATGTTTTCCTCTGGAAAATCTCCCCGTCCAACCTTCCGTCCAGGTGCTTTCCGTCCCCCTACCTTCCATAGCACGCACACATCTTGATGGACTCGTCTCCTGTCCAGTGAAAATAAATGTTGAAGAGCACAACTGTTGATCGTTTAGGGCTGGCCTTCCTCTTCATGTTCATGCTTTTTCCTTGCAAGCAAATGTTAACGGCGTCTTGCCAGTTGGGTTTCCTGTTGAGCTGTTTGGATCCGGCTTGTAATATAACGGTTTCATGGTGTAAAGTGTAAAAGAGTCTTTAAAACCGTGCGTTATCTTGGGATTTTTTTTCCTTCCCTTTATTTTTTTAAGGATGACTTTTAGCATCTTCCTTGTGTTGTTTTTACATGTCTGATTTTTTTCTTTCTTTCTTTCTTTCCCCCCCCTGACTGATCCTGTATTAATGCAACCTTTTTTATTTATGGCGTATATTCGATATCTCAAAAAGTAACCGGGATTTTATGTTGCTTTCTTTCCGTCGTCCCCTTGAAAATAAAGCTGATGAAACAAACCTCGTTTTGGAAGACGATGTGATCTTATTCTCTTTGTTAAGCTAAAGTTGTCCGCAGCAAGAGAATTGCAGGGCAGAGAGGAATTTTCCTGGCTGTTGAGATGGCAGTTCAGGGTGCGTCACGAAGCAGAAGCAAAAAAGCTTTGTAATTAAATGTACCTTTACGTGCAAGTGGCTGCTTTTAAAATCTGTACTCTCTGGAAAAAAAGTGTTTGAATTGCCTATAAACCTTGGCCCTGAGGTAGCTGGCCAAGCTTCCCTGCTTTCTCTATAATGGTCTGAAGACCTTTGGCAATGCTGAATGATGGATGGGTGTGTCTGAGGGCATGTGGAAAATTTTATGGGGTATATTGTCAACCGGAAAAAAAAAATCTCCGTTTTGCTTTAGTGTGATCTTTGGCTAGAGAAAAAAACCCTCCAAAAGCATTTCTCAATCTTTATTCGTATGTATGGTTATAAAGTCTTCAAGTTAGAACCACTAATAGGGGAGCAAATACTTTAAAGCCAGGTACAAAATGCAGAGGTGGAATTATAGCAATGGCACTTAGACTTATATACCGCTTCGCAGTGCTTTACAGCCCTCTTAAGCGGTTTATTCAGCCTCTTGCCTCCAACAATCCGGGTCCTCGTTTTACCCACCTTGGAAGGCTGAGTGAATCTGGAACCTGGTGAGATTCGAACTGCCAAATTGCAGGCAGCCGACAATCAGCAGAAGTAGCAGTTAGACTTATATACCGCTTCATAGGGCTTTCAGCCCTCTCTAAGCAGTTTACAGAGTCAGCATA